AAGGTAGGCAACGAACTCGTAGAGTCTTAGCAATTCGGCACGTTCTATACTGTTACTGTCAAATAGGCAACAAACACGTAGAGTTTTAGCAATGCGGCACGTTCTATAGTTTTGCGGTCAAATGTTTTTTAAATCTTTCGGATGGCTCCATCACAAATGCCAAAAGTGCGGTGTCTTTAATTGCGCAATTAATTGTGCAAGACTTTGCAAGGGACCGAACATTTGAGACGTCTCCCATACTGCTCCGTGGGTTGGGTCCTTCTTCAGCGCCATTAACAGACGTTGTGAGGTGGCGCAGTTAAAGGTGGCATCTAAGACATCATGTTGAACTGACCTGATTCGCTTATTTATATTATTATTTTTCAGACATATCCGCTGGTGTGGCGAAGATTAAACTTGGTCAAGGTTAGTGTCTTTACTCAAGATTTGTTGAAAAATTATCAGCCCTTGATCAATTTACCCCCAAACCTTGCTGACACGTGCATAAATCGCCGGGGGCTTTTTACGAGGAGTGTACCTAACTGTCGCTTGGCCGTCTGCGTCCCTTGGCCTATTTTGTCTATTTAAGTACATGATATAGCATTATATACATATGACACTGATATTTTCAGGTGACCTGGACAAGCTAGACCCGTATGTTCGACGGAAAATGGCTCAAAGACTAGATATCCCTACTGTGGCGAACTGGCGTGAGTTAGCCAGGAGGCTGAAGCTAGGTACATTAGAGAGGGCGTTCGAAATACACACGAGTCCAACCATTCAGGTGCTGGCTGAATATGAGGTATGTAGTCAGCTCTTTGATGCGTCAGATCGACTGTGGACATGTCGCAAGTATTGCTTTGTAGCAATTATGGCTGGTATCTCTGAATGAAAAGTGCGCGTCACACCTCAGTCCGATCATAGAGTTGTTGAGACGGGCGCATCTCCAATCAGTAGACACGGAAGCTGTGGGAATGTTTTAAAGCAAACTTCTACTGTTACAACAAGTAGACGTTACACTGCTGAAAATAAAGCTTAAATTTTAATTCTATTCCCAATCAGTTGATAGAAAATTTGGATGGCTATCGATGGATTTGAATCCTGCCATCTGGCTTTAAATGTTTACGTAATAAGGCTATATTCCAATTTTTTCGACCTGTTTGCCCCAAACATTGCATTGCCAACTTTGGTTACTCCGGGCTATTTTCACTAATTCCTTTCCTTGTTTGTCGCCGTCGCTGCAAACAAAGCAACCTCACTTCTTAATTAAAACGGAAACCACTTGACGTCGCAAAATTTCAAAATGGCAGCTCTCAAGAAATTTAGAGACGAAAACAGGGGCTACTCAGAAGTACATAAAGTCATTAAAAGGAGTTATAACTGTTGTATGCTAAGCTGCATTTCCTATGTTCGTTTTTCCCAGGCTGCGGAAGGAACTATCGAAAATTTAAGTAAGGTACTTGAAGAAATGCGCAGGGGAGACGTGTTAGACATCCTTCAAGGCAGGCATGACTCCGGCTTTGACTCAGGGTTTGGATCCCAGTCTCTCTCCTTCAACAAATCAGAAGGTAATGTTTGTGCCTCCATCGATTTGGAATTAAAAGACGTCATTTTTGGACCTTTGGGTTTGTTACAACAATTCTCCAATTGCAAATTACTGAAGAACTTTCTGAGTTACCTTGGGAGTCCCCACTGGTATTGACTGGTGATTTTTATCCACATTTGTGTGCAAATAAAGAGAAAAACCAAGCATATATCATTGAAATTGGCTGTATGAGTGGGTAATGAGTATAAAAAATGCCACATGAGGTCATCAATATTCCAAGTGGTTAACCATGTCACCAAACTAAACCGTTCGGTGATATAACGTTAATACATTTTAAGATAGCCAGAAATCAGTTTTCATTCTCTGGCGGATTTACTTACGAGTGAAACAAATTAAACGAAAATGTTTAAAAAGAACATCAAAGCATTTTGCTATGTTGGTTTGTTTCTTTCTAAGAAAATCGAATGGCCCCAAGTAAAAGTGTTAAACAGTAGCTGTTTCTTTTTAGAATTGACGTCTTATGGAGCAGGAATCTCTGACGTCTCGTCTGGTTCTTCGCTACGAAAAGAAAAGGCCACTTTTGATCCGTCACGGAAGGCCGGACACTTTCGACCGAACAGACAGCACCAAGATGTGTTTTAACTACGAGCTGTGTTTTAGTACTAAATACCTAAATGACGAAAGTTACGAAACTTAGAGGTTATCCAGCATTTGTGGCGTCGTGTATAACATGAGACAGTGTTACATGAAAATGTGTTTTGTGCCACACAACGCAAGGTAAAATCTCTGCATACAACCGTGAGATAGTCATTAGTCCACACGGAACTTTTCTTGGGGTATAGTTGATGGTAGTTTGGTATTGTTCACCGAGTGTCTTCTGTTATATTATCGATCGCACCTTCTGCAACACCCATTAACTGCCCTACTAGGTAGACATTTGTAGAGATTTTAATGTGTCAAATGAATATCCTACATTATCGCCATTGTTCATATAGATAACTATCAATAAAGTAGAAAGTCAGCGATTGCTATTTATTTTAAGAGTCGATTCAAGACAATCTGTTTTCGAATGGACACCTCTTCTTTGCTAACAACAGCTCAAAATAGCCGTTTCCAAAGCTTTAGTATTTTCTACGGAAATGAAATGGACTACTTTAAATCTGAAAGACGTTCACCTGAATGCCGTTTGGAAAATAGACGATTCACTGTCGTGAAGTGAAGTGAAGTGAAGTGAATGTACTCTGCGTAACCTCTCCCTGAGGGACCAAACTTAAATCTACTATAAATAAAAAAGGAGTTTGGAGACCAGGCAAAGATCATCCGATCATGGAAGGGAGAAAGTGATGGGCCATGGGGCGTGACAACATTTTAGTAACAAAACCTCTGAAACATGGTGATTCCATGAGGTCAAATAATGTGGAGGTGGCTAGAGCGGGGAAATTGATCGTCAGTTCTTTTAAGGTAATTTAATTTTTGGGGATTAACTGGCATTGTAGGATTTTGATCTCCCCGATACAGTTGAACCTCTCCTCAAGGGCCACCCTTGGGACAGAAGAAAGTGGCCGTTAGTATGGACTGTCTGCCAAGAAAATTCACTGATTTGGCTTTGATCATAGTGGCATTTCTAAAGGTGATAGATGTACTGTCTTTGCAGATGAAGTAAGTTAGTACCTCTTGAGAGAATAAATAGATTTAATAAGCAAAATATTCAAAGTTATAGTAGGCAAAAACTTTGTGCACAACCAGCTCTGCTGGCGTAACATGGTGTCAAACAAAAGGTTTTAAAATTTTGACTCGCCCTTTTCATTTTTCTGAGCAGTGTCTCACCCCGTTTAAAGTTGTTAAGAGCAACCAACGTAAACGGTATTTAAGCCTGGTAATGCCCTCGTAACCTGCATGACAAGCCCAAGGAATTTATGCAGAGGACTTCAGAGTAGTTTTGTGAAAGGTTATTTCTATTGTTATTGAAAATTATCTTCTTTCTGTTGATGTGATTTGATTTTCATTAGTTAGACCCTGTTAACATGGAGTGGGGGACCCCGGTCTAGAGGGGTAGGTTTCTTTTGTTTTGTGTCCCCCAGAGCGTGAAAACAAAAGAAACCAACCCCACTAGACCGGGGTCCCCCACTCCATGTAAACAGGCCCTTAAAAGCTTGAAATAGAATTTGTTTGTGCTGTTTTGTATACGTAAATAATTTGAGCCTGAGAAGGTAAAAAGTATGTATCCACGAGAAAAAGATGACATTATTGTTGACGTACTTTCATAAAAAAATCCATTAAACACGAACCTACAAAATTTTAACTCAAAGTAGTCTCCAAAAAGAGTAAAACAGTTAGTTGAGTTTTAAAGCTAGCGTAAAGTTTCTATTACATCTTCATGTCTTTTGGGCATTAAAGTGTTGTAACATTTTACTTTATCAATTAAAAATAGCGTTTTAATTTTTTTTGGTCTTCATTAATTTTGCTTATAAAGGCAATACTGAGAAGTGTGTAACAGCGAGCTGCTTTACGGTCATTTCGCCCTTACGTCATTTCGCCTCGGTTGCTTAGCCCCCTATTTAAGATCGAGGAATATATATTAGAAGCGTGCTTGTTTTGGTTTTTGGGTGAAATGACCGGTAACCACAGCAAGAATATCTTTTCCAAAACTGGTTGCTAGTCAGTGAGGTATTTGGTGTATGTAAATTGTGTTTAACTTATGTGTGGTAGAGTAAAAACGAAAACAAAGTCGAAAGTGCTAATATTAAAGTTTAATGACAAGCTCAATAAAAGTTAATTAAAAAAAATAAATATAACTATTCTTGTTAAACGTGTGTATAGATATTATCAAAGCCACGGTCAAAATAAACAGTCACAACATCTTTAATATGTTAATCTTAACAAACACACGCACAGAATACTTGCGAAAGTACAACAAAATTGTGGCAGTGACCCAGACAAACGCAACATTTCAGGAACACTGCTGCAAATATTCTAATTTGATCTCTTTACTTCTTGCAAGAGTGTTAGGTAGGGCTTCAAACACTCGCAGAGTCTTTTCTCAAACAATGTCGTGAAATTGGTGTGCCACTGTTTTACTGGGGTTTAAAAAAGTAGAATGTATGGTTGCTAAATCGTATTCTAGGAAGTGAACCGGAACTAACGTGTAAAAGAGGCCACTAAGGGAATAGTTTGTATGACATGAGCCTCGAGTTGCACTCCTGTCCCAGCTCTTTAAATTCTTTAATTTGTGTGCACCTTGTATGGGAAAATGGTACAAAAAGCTTTCGGTGCATCGAGTTTTGGGATCGTTTGGGTTGACAAGCCTTACTAATTACTGGTGACTCCCTGAAATCTCAGCGTCTAAAGCAAGTATCCATTCTCCTTATTGTGAGGTTGATGGAGTGGAGAATGGACCTCAGGACTTTCATTGATTCTCTTTCAAAAGGCGTAGTTAATGTTCTGGTCTACTCATGCTGAATTTATTCCGTGAAATTCATCGATATAAAAAAGCAAGTTTACTTCGTGTCAGCTCTGAATTGTCTCGCGAGTTGTTGAAACTAATTCCACCGGAAGAAGTTGAAAGGTAACTGGGTGGAAGAAACTCGTTGATCTTTCTCCTCCTTTTCCTGTTTGTCACTCTGTCAATAAATCGATGCTTCATCGGTCTAATAATCCGCTTAAACCGCTTGTTAAGATATCCGTAAAGAACGAAATGAATGACAGTTCCACAATGAATCAAAGCGACCGTGAATACTTTTGCTTTGTGTGACAGCTGACCGGTCAACATGGCCGTAACCAGAACGACGAGATTCGGTAAATGACATGCGCTTAACGTACCCACGAGTAGAGCAGTCATTTGAATATTCTTAATCGATACGCGAATATTCCTTTGCGCGATTCGTCGGCTGCTAGAGTCGATGCTGTAAAAATCTGGTGGTAAATTGTCCTTCTTTTGGTGAAAATAAATGACCAAGTTTCCGTAAATAAACATTGCTCCAAAATGCATGAGACCGAGAAATGTAAATTGTGCTGCAGCTACTCCCCGTGGGTATGCGGCGAAATTGATACGTTCTTGCTGTTCGTAAAATGACACAAGCGCTGCATAAACTAAAGAAATGATCCACGTTAAACTGATGAAAACTCCGATTTGCTTCATGGAAACGCGACAAAGTTTTTCTCCGCACAGAGCCAGGCCATATCTCATAACGGCAATAATGAACAAGGCCTGAAAATATATACTCATGGAAAATGCTTCAACGTAACTTTTCAAGTAACTGAATTGCGAAGACTCGCAAGAGCTTAACTGCAGTACGTCGGCCAGCAATGTAAAAGACCCTGATACAACTCCTACAAGAAGTCCTGCAGCACACAGGTTCAACACCAGCATGGCCGAAGGTATGCGTAGCTTCCTTTCCTTGTAGACGGCGTAAAATAAGCTTGAAGCAACCAAGAAAGAGGTCAAAGCGAAAATACAGAACACCATGACAGCAAATGCTATACTCAGCTTATTTACAGCGTCAAAATTCATATTTAGCAGTCGAAGTTCACTTTAAAATTTTGTGACAACCTGTTGAGTTCAAGCATCCGGTCAATATCCGTAAGACCAGGACAATTATTCATCCCGTAGCCTTCCATTCAAAATAGTAGCGTGCTCAGTGACTAAAGTTCATTCCTCTTGTTTCACATCTTTTCTTTCATTGTTTTTCATATCTCAAGTGTAATTTACACAAGCAAGTTTCCTTGACAACGTTTTTTGCAAATGCTTATGGATTACCATGTGGGCATACCATGGGTTGTCGTGGTTTTGCGAAACTATTGTTGCTTCGCTTTTGTTTTTTGGTGTGGGCATTAATCAGTGTCTTCTTAATTTTTTTTAATTAACGTCAGTTGGTAACACTGGGCTTTACTGTTTCGTTTCGCCAGCTAGGTAAATAAAATCCCGGAGGGAGACCGCGCCCCACCACTCCGTAAAGGTGGATTTCCACTGTCGGGTAATTTTTCCGTGCGTAAACACGTAAATCTTATGCGCGTAAATAAAATAGAGACATTGTATGGAAGGTCAAGCATATACCTAAGGGGGACAAATGTACCTCCACCCCCTGGGGTCCATCCACTCCATTGAGCGAATCCACCCCATTGGGCGGACAGGTATATTAGAGAGTAAAATTAAACTAGTGCAAATGTACTATCCACCCCACTGGGCGGTTCCTGGGTAGTCCGGCCTACCAGACCGGGTTACCCTCTCAGCCGGGGTCAAATTTTGCCATGTAAACGTTTCAAGGGGGGGTAACCCGCCCCGCCGGGGTCGGATTCGTAATACATCCAATTCGCGCAAAACACACTTTGGCAGTGGCTTTGCATCATTATTAGAGTTAACAATGGAAAGCCATTGCACTGAAGGTTGCAGCAAGAGCAACAAAGGAGTGCAGAAGTGCATTAATCGCCAAAACACGTGGTTTGCCAGCATTTTTCTTGTTTAGGTGCTTAGCGACCATTCAATAATCTTGAGAAAGTGCACCCCGGGATGGCGGCGTTGTAAGATTGCATGTAAAGGAGGGTTATTTTTTTCACCCCACCTAAGCAGGTTACCTCACCTACCCGGGTTCCCCCACCTTCATGTAAACAGGCCCTAAAAGTTGAACCTCGCTCAACTTTCACGTTTACACGTGGGCCTTCATACATTGCCACTATTTCATTTACGCACGTACATTTTTCGAGCGTTAAAAATTACGCGACGCAGTGGAGATCAACTACGCGACAGTGGAAATTCACCTTAAGAGAGAATGTATGAGCAGTACCCGACTGAGCCCGATCTCAGTTTTATTCTTCATTCTAATAATAACCATTAGAAATATGTGTCTCGCATACCCTGGCCCAACTAGGCGTTTAAAAATAGCGTCACTCAAGTTATACCATGTAGGCGGGGTTCCAAATTGGATGGCTGACCCGCTGCGAGTACCATTGTTGTATAGAACCCTACTTCTTTATTTTCTCCTTTTTTTGTCCTGTCTTATTCTTAAGAGCGTATTGAAAATAATTTTTAGCATTACTTCGACCGCTGGATGAGAAAAAAGACGGCAATCAAACAAACACGGTGGGTTCACCAGGTTCTTCGGCCGAAGAACTGAGTTGAAAACAGTCTAACTCAATCAGCGGGAAAAGTGCTACGTTAATTTTGCATTGGGTGTGCCTTGGTGAAGCGTGAATTCCAAGGCTGATTTCCGAGACGAAAGCAAGGTTTAAGATAATGCGAATTTTGACAAAATTATATATCTTCGCTACGCGATGGCCTCGCTGCCCTCGCTTCGCAAATAATAAGGGGAATGGGAACAAGCTTTCGGCGCAACGATTTCTTAATTAGTTCGGTGGACAAGCGTCACTTATGGTTGGTTACTGGCTTACTTGAATACCGTAGTCTCCCTCACAGCCGTTTTTTGGATGTCACGCAACGCTCCCCCTAACGCTTCCCCTTTGGGGGAGCGTTGCGTGACATGCAAAAAACGGCTGCGAGGGAGACTAACGCTTGTCCACAGTCATTCAAACGATCTCAGAATTCGCTACACCCAAAGCTTGTACCTATTTTTCCTGGGGTTTTTGAATGGGGGAATGCTTAATTGAAGGCGTTATTGACCAAGTTTGATGTCAATATAGTATTGAGCAAGTTCTCTTTTGCGAGCGAGGAGCGAAACCAGACTCACCCTCTCTTCTCCCTTCACGTGCTGCTCTCGCGTGTCTCCTTCTCGCGCTGCCGTTTTATCTTGTGCCCACTACTTCCAAGCGTCTGCTACGCAGGCTAGCTAATAACGATATAACAACGATATTAGGCCTTTCCTCAGTTGAATTAGAGAATAGGGAGGTACTGAACTCGATCACTTTAGCACTTCGTATTTCAATGACGACAGCTCTTTAACAAAAAGAAGGTTTATTATTCGGAATAAGAGAATTCAGAGAGCTCAGTGTTTTGCGATAAGCCCGGGGGGGGGGGGTACTCCCTTACAAGAGGCGAATAAAAATGTGCCGCTGGATGGGATCGCATGACTGGAGTGACTATAATGGGGCCGTATTTTCAACAGATTTACTAGAACGGGGTCGCAAATTTTCGGGTTTTTGGAGTAAGCAGGGATTCAAAATGGGAAGATTCTCGATAAAAAAATCGGAAAGTTGTTGTTTATTAAATTTAACAATAAGCTCGCATTGGCCGCATTACATTCCGCCGCTTGAAACCACCTTGATAAGGTAGATGCACAAATAGAAAGTGACTAAGTTAGCATCGCGAAAATTACATTTTCCGAAAAGTGACTAAGATGGGGTCTATAATTGGCAAAAAATAGACTATAACGGGGTAGGGGCTCTGAAAGGCCAGCGGCACATCAAGCGGCACATGCATACCCAGCAAACATTATCCCAAGTACCCCCCCCCCCCCTTCCCACCAGGGCATCAAGCTCCAGCTTTTGTAATTATTTCAGGTCTGCGCCTGACCCAAATCAAGCGCATCATTGTTTTTTCCCCTCGCCAGAGGGATTTCGGTTTCGAAATCCAATGCAAACCTGATGTGACTCGACCCATCTTAAAACTATTCAGTTTTGAAAGTTTGTCAGTCTTTTAATTGATACACGAGTGCCACTTTGACCTCTTCCCAGTGAGTATTCAGCTTATTTTGGGCTCCTTCAGCTTATTCTAAGAGTCCAGTAAATAAACTCTCTCACTTTTCTAATTACTGACGAAAAATCTCTAATTTCGTTTTGTAATGATAGTGAAAACAAATCAGTGCCATGTATAAATTATTTAAATATCACCAAGGCAATGTTTCTTTTCAATGGGATACCAGCTAGAACTGCATCAGTTGCGTATCACCTCAATTAATGGGCTCCACGCAGCCGTAAAGCAATAATTGCCCGCCAGGTTTAATCTTGACACATAACTTTGCCTGAGCGTAAGAAATAAGAATGCGATGAAGACTTTGTTTTACAGAAGAGACCATAAGATACACCGTTTCCGTGTACGGGCGAGGGAAAATTACCTTTACATACCAAAACTTTGCTGATACATCCTTCCTTGTTATAGTTTATGACGCGATGATATATACACCGTAATTTTTAGGGAGTTATTATAACTTCAAAAACGGAGTAAAAATTTTACGTACAGGATAACTCCTTTTTGGGGGTTATTTTAACTCCTAATCTGGGGTCAGTTTTACTCCTGAAAAAGAGTTTTTTAAACTCCTTTTTGGAGTTAAAATAACTCCCCAAAAGATAACTCCACTGTAAGGAGTTAAATTTAGCCCCACGAGAGGAGTTATTATAACTCCTTGAAAATTACTGTGTACTTATTGCAGCCGAACTCGTAACAAAAGGCATTAATCGATGAAACCCGGTCGCTAGGTTTCAATTACAATTATTGAATAATAGATGATAACAAACCATAGTATCAATTGGCCAATCGAATCTCTGATTGAGGAATTTTATAAATAGAACAGACATTGTTCCTGAGAGCCCACTGTTTTTTTTGTTGTGGATGTTGTTTTTCCTTTTTGCTCTCTCGGCTTTTTGGAGAGTTCCGTGTCAGGCACTTAACTACATTTCCGACCAGCAATTAACAAATGTTTGGCAAACAAACAACATTTTGTACTTTTTTTATATCATTTTTTTGTCAGTAAGAACCGCTTGTTGAATCACTAGACTGAAAAAGAACGAAGCTTTTTAAATCCATGAAGTCATCGACGCTATTTGTTTCAGACTAACACAGTTCTACAAGTCAAAAAACTGATGCAGGAAAAAAAATTTTCGTCGAGCATTAATATTTGGGCTCATAGTACCACGAGAATCCTATCCGGTAACAATCCGAAGGGAAATTATTTGGTTCCTAAAGTCGCCTTTTTAGTGGTTTATATTTTTAAACTTGTGAAACCCCTGAACAAAGCATATTCTTTTGGTTTCAATTTCCATTAATAAATATTCCTCTCTGAATTGGGGTCGCGCAGTTTTCACGTATGACACTAAAGAAAGTTTGGAAAACAGTTTTTCTTACCCTAATCGGCGGAGACAGTTTCCTGATTCTTACTGGCAGTCGTAAGTATATGTTTTTTATTGTTATTTTCCTTGAAATCGTTTCCTTATAAGCCAACCGGTCGGAAAAGGACTTAAAGCTTTGTTAAACGCAGGTGCGGTCGCATTTCACACGCGTGGCGAAAATACATTTGCAAACTTAATTTTTGCAAAGCAAATTTTATGTTTTTCCAGGATTAGCTCACCTACCTTGCCCAGAAAATAATGAAGACTGTCAGTGATATTTTGAGACGAAGCCCGGGATTCACGAAGTTTTTAACTGATTAAATTAATTGTGCCCTCAAGTCGATCGTTTCAAACAACAGTGGACCGAACTGCTGTTTGTTTCTGTACATCTGTTTTGTTTTCCTGGTGGTTTGCGAAATACAACGTTTCTCTCTTTACAACTTTTCCTCAAATCTAGCTCATCGCAGAACATCACATAACAGGTAGTCCAAGCTCGAAATTGTTCCTTAACGTTAGGAAGGATTTGTATGGGGAGAAAAAACGATTGTTTCTGTAACCTTTGTATATGACCAGATTTAAATACCATAAACGGCTTACCTTTGTTACGTTGTTTTGGTTTGCTGTCTCGCTCGAATAGGATAAAAATAGAGAGCAAACCGGTGCAATTACTAAAAACCTGTAAAATGGCCATAAATCGGCCCGGGGACCACACAGGACAGACTTGAACAAGTCCCTAAATTTCGAAGGTTTCTCGGGGCAAAAGTGCGTGACGCTCTTGTATCAAGCTTGGGCTACGTTACCAGTGATTTCATAGGCCATTTCAATGGGCAGCCATTTAGTTAATCCTGTTTCAAGCTAAACCTTCTTGTTCTGTGTATTAAGAATCATCCGAATTGAAAATATTTTGAAATTGTTTGAGTAATTTATAATTAACAACTAGTTATAGTTCTCACTAAATCTGCCCCCGACCTTTTAAAACCCGAATGAAGACTCCTTGTGGTTGTCCATGTATTTGCCATGAACCTTTGAAATGCAGTTTTCGGCCCCGTCCACACGTATCCGGAAATTTTTTTATGCGGATGCAAAAATATCTGCGTCCACACGTAGCGTATACGAATCGTATACGACCGTCCACACGTATCCGATTCGTATCCGGACATCTCAAAAGATTAGTCAAATCTTGCGCGGAAAAAGACTGGTTCTGATACTGTGACGTCAGCGTATACAAAAATATACGGATACGAGCGTCCACACGTATCCGGATACACAGCGTATAGAGAAATTTCCACTCTCGAGAGCGTATACAGAAATCTCCGGATACACCGAACGTATACGGCGGACACGTGTGGACGCTAGGTGTATCCGCATAAAAAAATTTGCGGATACAAAAATCTCCGGATACGTGTGGACGGGGCCTTCGTATTAGAGTTTCTGAGTGTAATTCTTTTGTTCTCTTTTGTGTTTTCTCAATTATTACACTTTGTTTCCTGGGTTAATGAAAATCCTCATACATGACATGCCTAGGAAAACAATTTGCGTCCACGCCAGCGTAAAGTGTGCGCACCGCTTTTATGTAAACGTTTGAATTAAAAACGTTTCGTTTAAAATACAAAAAGGTCCTAATCGAGTGGATGGAACGGGTCTTTTATTACTTCTGACTCAGTGATATTTTGAGACGAAGCCCGGGATTCACGAAGTTTTTAACTGATTAAATTAATTGTGCCCTCAAGTCGATCGTTTCAAAGAACAGTGGACCGAACTGCTGTTTGTTTCTGTACATCTGTCCTGTTTTCCCGGAGGTTTGCGAAATACAACGTTTCTCTCTTTACAACTTTTCCCCAAATCTAGCTCATCGCAGAACATCACAGGTAGTCCAAGCTTGAAATTGTTCCTTAACGTTAGGAAGGATTTGTATGGGGAGAAAAAACGATTGTTTCTGTAACCTTTGTATATGACCAGATTTAAATACCATAAACGACTTACTTTTGTTACGTTGTTGTGGTTTGCTGTCTCACTTGAATAGGATAGAAATAGAGAGCAAACCGGTGCTATTACTAAAAACCCGTAAAATGGCCATAAATCGGCCCGGGGACCACACAGGACAGACTTAAACAAGTCCTTAAATTTCGAAGGTTTCTCGGGGCAAAAGTGCGTGACGATTTTGTATCAAGCTTGGGTTACCAGTGATTTCATTGGCCATTTCAATGGGCAGCCTTGTAGTTAATCCTATTTCAACCTAAGCCTCTCTGTTCTGTGTATTAAGAATCATCCGAATTGAAAATATTTTGAAATTGTTTCAGTAATTTATAATTAACAATTAATGAATGAGGCTGAGTATCTTATGAAGAATTATGGGGATCGAGGAGGAATAATTCCTAGTTTAAAAACATTGCTAAAACATGCTTACCTCCATTGATCCATCGATGTTAAGTTCATCTTCGATAGTGCGCGTTTAGGGTTGTTCAGCTACGCAAATATTCTCCAAATAGCAAATATCGCCCTTCGAGTTGTCTTCTTGCTGTTCTTGCCATGTTTTTAGCTATTATTGCTCCTAGTTCTTACTCTTGAAACGCGGTGAAATGTCCGTCATTTTTGTTTCCACAACCAAAACAACTCAACCTCGTCCCCAGGTCTTCTCGGTTAATGGGGGAATTAACCTGCAAAAACGCTGCATTTTTGACGTCATTTCCTCGCTAAACACAAAATTCTTCCAAATTTGGTCATCAGCAACTGGTTATGGTAAATTATGCGTGTGATTTTAGCCAATCAGAATCGGAGAAATATTTTAAATGAATAATAAAAGAATTTTATTTTCTATTTCAGGATGGCGGAGTCAAACTTCAGCCTCTATACTCAGAATACTTCTCGAAATGGCAACTCACCTCTTAAGTTCACGAAACAGGGGTCTGGCACCGAATATTTCGTCTATGCATCTCTTCTGTGCGTCATCATGCTCCTTGCCTTATTTGGCAACTTAACACTCATTGTCCCAATCTACTACAGGAAAAAGTTGCGCACACGCACAAACTTGTTCATACTTAACCTGGCATGCGCAGACTTGGGAGTTGCATTGTTTTGCATTCCTTTTTCGATTATCACGTGCTTTTCACGTGAATGGATATTTGGAATCAGCTTGTGTCAATTGAATGGCTTTTTAAACATTTTGTTTGAATGTTCGTCGCTTTTCACTCTAACGGCCATCAGCATTGAAAAGTACTTTTCCATTGTGAGGCCGATGAACCGTCACGTGATAACAACAAGACTGGCTTGGATGATGGTGGCGATGACGTGGATAGCACCCTTGATTCTTGCTTCGATTCCGTTGACTGGGTTTACCGCGTTTAAATTCAAGGCTGGTGAGTAGCAAACCAAATAATTCCCCTTTTGGTTCTTTGTATTTGTGGTACCTAGAGGTAATTATTGAGATTCGATCGGTCCGGACGAAGGCATTTTCTGGAAAGGCAATGAAATTTTGTAAACGTATCTGGGACTCGTTTTTTAAAAGTCCCGGTACCTTTGCGGGCCTCGAAAATCAAATATCTATCAAAATCTAAGGAATAAAAGCGAGGGTCCTAGCTAACAATCCAGTTTATCTTGTTTTGTTAACTGTAAAACTATTGAAACTTCGAACTTAAGTAAACAGAAACAGCTTTCGGAGCCCATTGATTATCGGGACTCTAGAAAAACAGGTCCCATCCAGGACAGATAAATTTTTTTTGTGTTTGACAAAGAATGGAATGCTTTGCAACTGGTCTGAGGATGACTGTCTTCCAGTAGTCCTGACCCGCAGGTTCTGGTAAACGGACCATTTCGAACTATATTATCACTTAAAAACGAAGAGTGTAGCCTACGAACGCAGACGTGTTTGTGCACTTTCTGGTTGTCCCTTGTATACATTCACTTTATTGCAATAACAGGGTTATTTCTTGCGCGCTTATCGGTCAAGAGCTGTTGGACTATTAGAGTTTATAAGTACTAACTGCGTGAAAAGTGATTGGGGCCATGACGTATTACAGTACAGGCACATGGATGGCATCTAAAATTATAAATTAACGCTGAAATGTCGCGCCAGAATTAAGGAGTAATTTGTGCAAACCCACGATATTAGTTTGTTTAACTTGCTCTGTCTTTCTAGGTTCAACGCAATGTGGTGTCCAGGTCCCCAGCAATCTTGGTCAAATAGTATTTGCTTTTGTGGCGCTTCTTGTCGCTTACCTCATACCGCTATGTATCATGGGATTCTGTTACGTAAATATCTTCAGTGCCGCCAGAAAACTCGACATTCGCTTATCTCGGATGTCCCTTACAAGTGCTGACAGCGGCAGAGGACTTTCCTCTCAAAAACAAGTCGCACTCACGATTTTCATGATGTTTATTACTTTTATCGTATGCTGGACTCCTTACTTTGCCTACATGACCTATATGACAGCGCTCCAAATCGAGACGACCGTAGATGCATCCATTCAGAACTTTGGACTAGCCTCGTATTGGTGCGCGTTTTTGAATAGTTGTATAAATCCCTTCTTGTATGGATTAAGAAATCCTCTCATTAGACAAGAGCTAAATGCTAAGAGTTGCCAAAGGTTCCAAAATTGCACTCCTTGGTACAAAGCGACGCAAAGAGCATCAACTAATCATAACTATACACAGTATTGCAAGACTTGTTTGAAGCACGTTCACGGGGCTTCCTATGTGGCGTATAGAAACTCTGTAGCACTAGCTGAAGAAAATAAATTAAACCCAGACGCTGGAATTTCCATAGTAACCAGTGAAGAATTCCAAATGGGATATCCCGAGTTACAACTCTTATCAATCCAAGATTTGCGCAAAGATTTTGCCCGCAAACAGCCTTGTGGGGGAAACCAAACAATGCCAAGAGATTTGACAGAGCTACCCACTCTATTCCAAGACACCAACTTGGACCACACTTGGAATAGGTCCTGTTCAACACATTCAAGTTCCGAAACTGCTCACGTACATGTGATGGATAGACGTAACGAGGTCACGTGTTCAAACGATGACTTTTCAGAGGACATTTTGTGTAGCGATGAGGAGTCTACTGCGTCTGTTAATTCCACGAGCAGATGGAGTTGTGAAGATGGAAGTTACTTCAGCAGTTGTTCCTCTGATTCTTCCGGAGAAATCTAAAATTGGTTGAACAGACTCTGAGCTTTGACGGAGAAGAGTTGCACAGGTGGACATTTAGCACCTTTTTCGTTTAGCATTTTTATCATAACCTGGAGCACAATATTATATTAGCATTAGTATTACTAGGCAGTATTAGTATAAGTAGTTTTTGTTTGTTTGTTTGTTTTTTGTAGTAGTATTAGTTATTGTATCCGTTTCCCACTGTGTGATTTTATTGTGAAGCGCATTTGAACTTTGTATGGAAGTTGCGCTATACAAATTCTTTCTTCTTATTATTACTGTTAAATATCCGCCCTGATTAACACTCTCTAAAGCCCCGTGCATGCCACGGCCAACAACCGCCTGACATTGTTGGATGTTAAATGCTGCGTCCGTGTGCACATCCTGTTGCCAGAGTCCTGTTGCATGTTGTTGGGAGTTGTTGCGCAAAGTTTGCGGTCAAACTTTTAGCTACGTTTAAACGGACGTAGCAACTCCCAACAATGTTGTGTCCGTTCACCGGGGCTTAAGGACAATAAACGGATGATCACCTGTTAAGTTTAACTTGTGGGATGTAAATCATACTACTCAAGTCAAGACTGTGACTACGTTACTGTGGAATAGTAATTTGTGAGTAATATTGAATACCAAGAGAGGATAAAGGGGACAGAGAAGGCATCCCCCATACACACCCTATTCCATAGGTAATTCGTCTCGAGTTATTTTTAGAATCGGGATAAAGTTACCTCGCACGCTGCGTGGATGTTTCGTGGAGGTTTCGCAAGACTAACGCCCTGCAAAACATGTCGGGCGAAAGGTAATGAAAGCGTAAAGAGTTTTCTGAATATTGAAGCGAAATGAATCGACGCTCACCTGGGAAAGGGATCGCTCGACTCTTTGACAACCCGTGAAATCAGTTTAACTCGAAGTTATCGTAACCTCAGTGCTTTAATAAAATGAGAAATTTCGCCGGTCTATTGAAACCGGTCGTTTGTACAATAAAGCAAGTAGCAAGTAATATTCGTGTACATGTAATTAGTTTTACAAATTTGAATTTTACTGTAGTTTTTTTAAGTTGTTAAGCGCTGTTGATCAGTGAATGTAAATAGCGCTCTAGAAGTTATTAAATTATTATTATTATTATCAATATAGGGCGCCAAGTGTTATTTTTGTTGAATAATAAAATACTAATTAAAAAATCAAATATCAAACCAGAAATTGCTCTCTTCAAACTGTAAATTATAAATGATCCTGAGAGAATATTCACTGTGTTAAGGATTTCCCTGCTGTACTGTTAGCTATATACAAGAGAGGAAGGGCGATTCTTTTTTAATTTCCGTTTCGCTGACACAGCTTTAGCAGAAATCTCTCTTTAGTCGTTTTCGTCGACAAAACGAATAGCAATATTGCTCTCCGAGTCTTCCGCCATTTTTTTCTGCCTCAATTCGTGAAGGACGCGTGGCTCTGAGCGTGGGTGATCCACGCGGAACACATTCGCGCTATGTGATTGGCTGTTGTCTAATCCCCCTTGGGATCTGTGGTCTTAAAAATAAGTCGAGACGAATTACCTATGGAATAGGGTGTATATGGGGGATGCCCTCTCTGTCCCCTTTATCCTCTCTTGTGAAGACAAAATAAAGTTCCGTCATGTTGCTAAGGCTAAAATGATCAGGTATGTGACTTGCATTTGACACCACGGGCGCCCGCGCCCGGCCAGCGCCTGGTCCGCCCTTACTTACACATTTTATTGTAAACTCCTAGACTACGAGTAGTCCTCATTTTTACTCAGGGATTTTTCCTGGCGAGCGCGCGTAAAATCACCCCACACGAGAAAGGTGAGACGCGGCGGGGAGAGAGAAAAATGACTCACCGCTGCGTCTCGCCCCTCTCGCGTGAGCTTATTTTCACGCGCGTTCGCGTTTCGCTCGCTCTACTATACCTGAGGGAAAATGCGGACTACTCGTAGTCTAGTAAAGTCCTTTTTCGATCTTTTAATTCTTAGAGTTGGTTTCTTAATGATTGCTAGTTCTCTATCTCGAGACAACGAAACAAGCCAAGGAGTGTATTGATTTGTCCTGCGATTTGGGTAACTGCAATAACAGACCGTTTCGATTCTACTTTTACATTCGATGATTGATAGAGTGTTACTCTTATATAATGTTTTGTTTCCTTGCATTTTTTTTACAGCCACAAATTGTAGTTCGAATAAGGCCGAGGAAAAGGTAAAACGTTGAGAGTGTAGGGGAATCCCCTTATGTCGCACTGTCTCTCTCTCAGACTAGCCTATTTTCCCCGTTTAATAACGAGGTTTGAACGAGCTTCGCTGTAGAAAGTAAAAATAAATGAATATTGTCTCGGATGTTTTCTCATTTACTCCTTGTATGAATCTTCTACGATACATTGTGGTTCTCTTTTTGGTTGGTTAGTGGGGATTAGTGAGAAACCATTCCTAAATTCCGCCTATCTAGCTACTTCTGACTCAGAAAAACGAAACAAAGCGGACGCACAGCTACCCATTCACAGAGCTGATGATTGTTCGGTCATTATTGTCAACATGTGAAATTATTTTCTTTTTAGTTATCCCATTCCTTTCATACCTAAAAATGTCAAGTATCATGTGGCTCCCAAGTATTTTTATAGTCTCAGGAAACAAGATTATTTAGATTCCTTTAGGCGTATCTCTATTTGTGTTCTGAAAATTATACCTAACATTCACAACCAACACTTAATAGTTTTCTGTATCCAATTCTCTTACCTTGTTTAGAAAGATTCCGGCGTCGAACTGATTTAAACACTGTTAAATATGTGTTGTTTAAGAAGCAAAGAGCGACATTTCCGATAAACAAAAGACTTACAAAAACTGACCAAAAGCCTGTCATGTGAGCTTAACGATCGTATACAATGCAATTGTTAAACGCTTTGTTCGCCATTGTTGTGAGGGTATGTTACGGGTCAACAAGTTGACAAGCCTATCATCTTGTACAAGCTGTCCTAATATCGACGTATGCTGCAGTCGTAAGTCGGAGCTCTCACTTAAACATACGCCTGGTTCTGTTCTCCCCTAGGTAAGTTTATGTAGATAGGGCTAATAACACCTTGTTCGTGCAAAGTGGGCGAGCTGATAAAAGGTTTAGGGTGGTTTAGGGCATGGTTAGTTTGTTGGCCCGCAATTATCGCGTTTTTATACGCAAACAGCATGTGCTCCAGTTAGTAATATTTGCTCAAGTTAAGAGAGTTTGGTGAAAGCTTTCCTTTAATGAGGGAATTACTTTAGTTGTTCACTTTAAGCATCTTCGTTGTGCACCTTGAGAACTGAGGAAAAAGCGACCTAAAAGCAACATCATCAACAACAAAGAAACTCAAAAGCGGGACAGGCGAAGCTAAGGAGACGAAAGATTGAACACAAATTTCTCACTTTCGTGACTTTGCGGCTGATTTTCGCAGATGGAACAATTAATGTTTCTTTCATCTATTTTGTGTAAACTTGCTGACAAAAGTGTGGCTCATTGTAAAAGCATACAGTCCGTTAAATTGCCGATGGCCTAAATTTGGATGAATTCATACAGAATGACCCGGCGTCGAGATTTACAGGCCCGCATACATACGTTGCTGACCGCCTATCTCAGACAGGGTTCTTCCGTTGTATAACGAGAATTGTGGTATCTAGAAATTCTGAGAACAATTAAATAGTTAACTTCCATCAGAAATGAAGAAATATCAAAAGCATACTCCCTCAAAACAGTTCTTAGACCGCAAGGACGATTACGCTGGAGTTTATATAGAACTCCATAAGACGGTCGTTAACGAGAGTTGATCAATTGCAAAGTACTCCAAAACAAATTTTATGAGGGGTGGCCAGTAATGTTCCGCCCCCTTCTTCTATAAAGTTCCCTGTCTTGACTCATCATGGGCAGAGGAGTGCATCCGGGGGGACTACTCAATGAAGTTTTACACAGGGAGGCTCCGTCCCAAGTCCCGCTCCCTGCCCTTTTGTAAACCATTTTTGACAGTAACGGTAAGGCCCTTTCGTGTACCCTCCATTAAAAATTGTAGCCCTTAACATACCTACTTAATAGGAATAAATCGCTAAAAAAGGAGGTTGTCTTTTCACTTTCGTGTAAAGTTTATGGTCTATAGCCACAAGGCTCGTCTTTTCGAAACATTTTAATTGAAGGCCCTTTTAACTCTTTCATATACTTCAACTCGTAAATTCCCTGCCCTTTGATATACCTGAGGCCTTAAAAAGGTAACCTTTTCGGGTGGAGCCTTGACGTTTAGGCCATTATCGGAAGTACCCCGCAACTCCGGGGGTGTACGCATATGTGTATTTAAATCTCAACCGACGTCAACTGCGGCCGAGTATGAGCCCAGGATTTGAAAACTTGGCCTATGCAATATGTGGCCAACCGGCAGCCAAAGCCGGTGGATTTTAATTTTATGGGCTTAACTTGAGTGTATCTCTCTCTTGCTCTCTGATGTGTGAAAAGAATCTGGAGAATACCAAGTTGATTGACTTTACAGGGAATAAAACGTGTCAGAAATTTCCCCTTCCTTAAGAAGAAACTGTCAAAATAATAAATCCTTTAGAGCTATAGCTGCTTTTTTGTCTTGCAATTGAACGGAAACAAAATCACGTGCACGTGGGACCAGTGATGACAGGTGAAAAAGATGTGGATTAAAGAAGGTCGTTTTTTTTAAAAGCCCAGTGTAGAAAAAGTTATGAGTTATTACATATTGATTGTTCACTGTACTATATCCACTCTTTTTAAAATCAAGTAACTTATTTCTTTGCCTCCCTTAAATTTTAGATCGTCTGTTGGAATTGGCAATATTATAAACAGTAAAGATGACACTAGCTAAACAAACAAAAGTAAAAGCACCCATTTAGCCTCCTTCTTATGCTTGTCAATCCACGCCTTATTCATAATTGTGCCCTTGCTTCAAGTATGCAGCTTGTAATATTTTAAATTATCTTTTTATCACATTTTCCTTTTAGCCATCTTTTGAGATTGGTAATCCTCTTAAGACTGAGAGCGGGAAAACAGGAATATGACAGCATTCAGCAACAAAATTAGCAACGATACCAACACAACATCTGAGCAGCTCACAGTGTTCACATACAGCGAACTAGAACATATTCTAATGAGCGGAAGCCTGGTACTGATGATTTTGGTGACATTGATTGGTAACGCTACAGTTTGCTTAGCAGTCTACCGCCGCCGAAAACTGCGCACGCGTACTAACATGTTTATCATCAACCTATCATGTGCTGACATTGGAGTCGCCGTACTCTGTATGCCATTTTCGTTAATCACGTGTTTGCGTCATGACTGGGTTCTAGGCGACGCCTTGTGCAAGATAAATGGATTCTTTAACATAGTGTTTGGTTTGACGTCACTCCTCACTCTTACTGCCATAAGTGTGGAGACCTATTTTGCCATCTGTAAACCGCTGTACCACAGGCACATGAGCCGAAATTTTGCCTTGGGTCTCCTTATATGGACTTGGTTTCAGCCAGTTGCTATCGCTATTGTACCGTTTTTGGACGTCATCAACTATGAGTTCAAACAAGGTACGCTACCTTAATGACTACTTTTTACGTAACCCAACAGCTACCACAAATAACCCCCACTTAACACCTAATTTTGAAATGTTAGTTGTGTGATAATAATGATAATAGTGATCAAGAGAGAATCCTCTCTTGTAGTGACGTTTAAAGACAACGGAACTAGCAGCTATCGAGAATAATCCAAGCTTCCTGGCCAGAGGCAACCGAGTTGAAGTTCAGCGCCCTAAACCACTCAGCCATTCTGTCTGCTTATTAAGTGTATAATGATCTTTAAGGTACAATCTTGTGTAGTATGCGAAAAAAAATTCCTGTGAGTTGTTGCCTACAGATTTTGATAAAAACGGCTTTCTTTTGCTTTCTTTACTGTTAAGGTACCACGCAGTGTGGCGTCCAGTTTCCCACCAATCTAGCTCAGATCATCTACGCAGGCATAGTAATTTTTTGCGGTTTTGTACTACCGGTGAGCATCATGGGATTTGCCTACAGCAACATTTTCTGCTCCGCCAGGCAACACACTCGACGCGTTAGTCGAGTATCTATTTCAAGCACGAGTAGTACGAACTCCGCCACGGCCCATAGGCAAGTAGCGGTTACCGTGCTGATTTTGCTTGGCGTATTTCTAGCGTGTTGGTTTCCCTACTTCATGTACGTCATCTTGGTGAGTGTCGAGAAAGAGCTTTCTACTGAACGAGCAGTCCTGAACCTAGGAAAGGCCGGTTATTGGTGTGCGTTTGCTAGCAGTGCCCTTAATCCCTATATCTATGGTTTTCGCAACCCTCAATTCCGGAAAGAATTCAATTTAATCCTTTGCTATCTCTGCCCATGCGTAGGATTGGGATGGCGCTCGCGGGGCTGTAGTACCACTACAGGCAGCAAAGGATCGTGGGATGGATCTAGTGGATTTGATTATAATCAGTTAAGACGTCCCAGCACACCTTGTATCACTCCCAAGGGACGGCTGTCGGTTGATTTTGCGCCCCTCCCCCAAGAAAGTCTTCAGAAACTTGAAATGTTCGCTCTTCAAGCAAAGCTTTCAAACTGTTCTGCTGAACCTGAATATTGCAGCCACAACGAGGAAAGTTCAGAGGCAGCAGGTGGAGATGAAAATGTCAACAATAACGGTGAAGGCGACAACAAAATAAACAACAATAATACGAACACCGTATTTGGGACAAACGTTTCCGAAAGTCAGCATGATTTCTTTGAAATCAATGTCAACGAAACAGGCCGTTCACATCACAAGCCTTTAGAAGAGGAAAGATCAATCAAGGGATCGTTTTGTAATGAAGGGTTTGCTCCTGAAAGCAATTCTAACAACAGCATAGCTGCTCGAACTAATGAATGCGAAAATTCAGCTCAAGCTGATTCTTTAGACAGCTTTCAGGCTGCAAGGGATCTGGGTACAAGTCTCTCAAAGGAACTCCTACCTTCGACACGGCCCAGGGGGTGGAGTTTGAGAAGTCTTGGTGCCAGGCTTAAACTCGGGTGGGTGGAGAGCGCTCTATAAAAATTAACAACGTAAAACGCAACAGAAGTGCTTCTCAGTTGGCGATTATATCAAGATAGCATACAATCGACCTCAATTAGGCTGCAAGCTAGTGATAACTTGTTCGAAAACTGTACAAACAGAGGGCCTCTTCACGTAGGCTCGGTTGACCGGGCTGGCCAGCTTACCGGGACCAGTTTCAGCTGCGGTTCATATGAGAAATTTCAGCTCGGTTTCCAAGATGAAAAAAGGCCGGCACTAGCTCTGGCGCGAAATTCGTGAAACAAAACAACCAGGAAGAAACACAAAGGTAAAACTTTTGCGCTTATAATAGCTTTGGCAACTCTTATAGCTATATCACTGCAGATAAATGGGATGCTTATGATACAGTAGGCAAAGCAACACGATGCCACAGGGACACCCAACGACGGTTTCCTCCTAAATACATAGAAAACACTCTTTAGGCTATCCAGAGTACTTTTACTAGATCTCTGCAAATCGATTCTAAGCGTCACTACAAAATTTGTATCCGTTCGGTCATCCTTAGGGAACTTGAGGCCTTTCGAAATTACAAGAGCTTCCGTGTTATTTTCCGGAAAATTTTTAGTTGTAATTGAACGTTTTACGAAACTGAGAATTCTTCTTATTCCTCTCCATCAATTTATTATTTTTTGAATACGAAAATTTTAGGCTTCTTTGTCCTAAGAAAATTAGCCTAACATAAGGAGTAAACTGTAAAAAAATTAAACTTCAGAAATTCGTAGGGAATGTTTCAGATAAGCTTCGAAAAATTGTACCTAAATGGAAGGCTCATCTAGAAACTTTTAGCCGTTCTCAAATAATTGAAAATTCTAGGAAATATTTGCTTCTC